GGGGGGGGGGGGGGGGGGGGGGGGGGGGGGGGGGGGGGGGGGGCAGCTCTAGCCTAGCCTGTCATGTGCCCGACAAGCACAACGGCACCGGAACCACTCAACTTTGAGCACAACAGCTCGATTACTTTCCGTCTGTGTCATCAGGATTATTTCATAGGCACTATTCTACAATGGGCCGTTGGCAATATGGAGGGCCCGGTACTTTCATATTTTTTGTGAGGTATAACATCATCTGCGCCACAACGGGCCATTGGCACTATTAAGGGCCCAAAAACTCAAGCGTGGGTGAGTCACCGGTTCTGGTTCCAAGATCTTGAGGTTGTGCGTAATGTCCACCCCCTGGTGCGTCCCGTTGTTGTCGATAACGGTGGCACATCTTGACCCGAGACCATCGTTGCACAAGGCCTACCATCGAGGGCGGAAATGGGGTGCAACAGACGTCGCAAGCAGGTGGTAAAGAGAAGAAAGTCGTTCTACGCCTAATGCGATACCGCCGGGAACATGCGCATGAACAAGCCAGCTCGACAGCAACGACACCCTCACCACCCCACTGACATCTCTTCAAACAAGGTTCCGAAAATGAGCGTTGACGGGGTTGTACACGGCATTACACGAGTGTATTGGGCCGCTAGCTTTTCGAGGGAACTGCGAAAATGGGTGAAGCCGCAGGATCAAACACCAAAAACATTGCCCATTTCCATGAAACTTAGCGTGGAAAATACTGATCACCAACGGCAGCACGGAGCACTATTGAGAAACAAAGAACGCCACTGGCAAACACTCCGCACCAGTTGTACGATCAAACAACGGCATGCTCGGGAGAAGAACCGGTTTTACCCGTACGCTTCTGCCCCATTGCAACCTTCGACAACCGTTACAAACATCAGAGTGAGAGACCCCCCCTCCCCCCTCGACCGAGCTTCACAGCCCGCGTGCTCCACAATCAGGAAGGAGGCTGCCAACGCCCGACCACGGCAGTGGTATCGGAAACATATCGTCGAGAGGAACATTTCCTGGCACGGACTGTCTATCTGTTCACATCCTCTTGCTTGCGGAGCAATCGAGCTTTGAACGGCGGCCTGGGGAACCCTCGCACTCTTACGGACTACGGAAAATGGAATACCACGGGAAAAAACGAGAAGAATGTCTCACCTCTCCCACGGTTCTCGAAATACACGTATACGGTACGGTACATGGTACGGAATCCCGCAAAACCACGGTGAATGACGAAAAGAACGAGTCACGCCTCCCGCAATTATCGTATACGGTACGGTATACGGTACGGAACACCGTATACCACGGCGGTAAATGACCAGAATAACGACTTACCCCTCCAGCGGTTCTCGTAATGAGACTGGCCAGCTCTTGTGTGTAGTCCTTGCCCTTGATCGGGTTCCCCGCGATGTCCGTGTTGAGGCCTACCGTCATCACTAGTGGGTTGTCACCTGCATCGATCGACAACAACAACCGCATCAGATCAGCTCCTCCGCAAGCTCTGATAACACAAGAAAATACAACATCAAACAACATCAGATCAGTGTCGCTACAAGTTCTGACCACAACACAAAACCCAGCAGCTAGCACAAGTCTTTATGGCACACCAGCAACAACCGCTCCCGCGATCCACGATTCCGGCGATGGCGCCAGCACCGCACAGCAACGGAGCGGTAATTTGATGGCATTGACCTCGGAGCCGGTCAGTCCTCGGGTACACTCAAGGGAAGGAAGTGAAAAGCCCGTTATCGCGTCAATGGGCGTGGCCCCCGGAATGAATTCTCCAGTTTTTTTTGTTTCATTACTTTTAAAATCAGCGATCACAGCACAATTTGCCGGGTAGATAGTTAAAAACTAAAAATTTAGCTATGGGTAGATGGCGAGCACAAATCGAAAACACAGCACCAGGTCGCAACCAACATCTCTTTGTCGTCGGCGGTGGTAGAAACGGGGGTCATGTCTTGGGTTGGTTTCTTGGACTTCTGTGGCCAAGTCGTTGCGCGACTGCCCTCAAGCCGGGTTGGAACACGCGCATACGGTGGGCTCATGCTCTGCTTGATGCATCACGGGGTTGCTCTACCAACTGTTGAGCACAAAACAGCATCATCTACAACATCGAGAAAACCATCAGCAACAAAAATCGAGTAGCGATACCGAATCATCAACCCCACCGCCACCGCCAGCACCAACAAGGCTACCACATAACATCGGCAACAACGACAACAACGGCAGCAACTGCTCACGGACCGCCTTCGCGAGAAAGTAAGGGCCGCCTTCGCGCGAAATTAACTACTATAAGGAAATAGAACAGGGAGGGGGGACGCAGACCGTATTCCCTGACCGTAAACCTAACCCAACGTTTCCGATTGCAAGCTTCAACCAACATGTTTACTCCATAGAAAAAACCCGCGAAGACCACACTACATACTGCCGCTCACCAATCAGCGTGACCACGGGAGCGCACGCATCCTAGCAGCCGGTGCAACCTAACCCAACTTCGCCGATTGCGAGCTTTATCCAACAAGTTTACTCAACAGAAAGACCCTGCGAAAGACTACGGTACATACTGCCGCTCACCAATCAGCGTGATCACGGGAGCGCACGTGTCCTTGCAGCCCGTTCCCCCGTCGTACCCCGCCGGAAGGGTACCCGACTTCCTCGGCGTAAAGGGCTCGAAACCGTCGCCGCCCATGCACGCGGGGCACTGGCAGGTGTACGTGCCCACCCTGTTCTCGCACTTGGCGTGCTTGTGGCAGCTGGGCTTGCACCCGTAGCAGGCAGCCTGCGGGGACCCGATGTCCAAGGCGCACTCGTCGACGTCTTCCACGGTGACCTATTTTTTTTTTTTGTTGAGTCGTTGCGAGTTGTCGTTATCGTTGCCGACGTCTTCTTCGTTGCTGCTTTCGCTCATGTGTTTGTTGTTGTGGTTTACCGTAAATGACACAAGATAACACACCCCCTGGACCGATTTTTCAAATCTCGGTTTCTCAACAACAGAAAGAGTCACGGCGCCGATAACGGCGGCGTTGGAACCGTCTCGTCGAGAGCTCTCCAAAAATGTATCGTTTTTTCGTTTATGCATCCTCTTCGTCGTGGAGCAATCGAGCTTTCAAAATTCGTCCAGGGGGTGTGTTGTCTTGTTTCATATACGGTAGTGAGACCGCCCTACGTGCATACTCCTATACTGTTTCCGAGTCGAGCATGTCGAGCGTCTGTTACGCTTCCGGCTGCAACACGGAACACCGCCATTGCCAACGAACACCGCGCAAACATCTATGTCTGACGATGGGTACCCGGTATGGATGGAGGATTTTAACTCAGAGTCTTGGATTGGACACAGCAAACGTGATCACAAACACGAACAGGCGCGCCTTGGTTTGGACAGCAACAACGCCAACATTAAAACACACACACACGCATCGCAAAAAAAAAAAAGGCGAGCGAAAAAAGTCTCGATGAAAACAACACGGCAACGAGATCCAATCATGTTGTTCTTGTTTTCTTCACATTGAAGTCGTGTCAGTTGCTAGTCCCAAAATCTAGCAAATACTCGGCCAACAGAAAAAAAAGCGAAAACCAAACAACCCGACTAGGACAAAAAAAAAAAACGGACAAGGCGGCAAAAAGACGACAGCCAAACCGCGACCCAACAGTAGTAACTCACGTGGCGCAAGATGTACTGGACAGGGGGATCCATCCATTCCGTGTTGAGGGTGTAGTTTACCGTGAAGGTACCCATTTCTGATGCACACTTTCCGGGAGGCTTGGAGTAGGACACGCCAACGTTTCTGTTGGGGTTTGGGGCGAAAAAGGAAGCCGGAAGGGGGGGGGGGGGGGGGGGGGGGGGGGTACGTGCTCGTCGAATCCGGACCACAGTNGGGGGGGGGGGGGGGGGGGGGGGGGGGGGGGGGGGGGGGGGGGCGACACATGTTCTGCGTGCCTTAGCTGCAAGACCACGCGCCCTCGACAGGACGGAGCGTTGCTCCCACAGGACTGATCACCAATCGTTCCTTCCTACTTTGACAGCGGTGGCTCGGAAGCGTTTTCCCTATCCTATCGATATCAGCCGGTAGGGGGGCGGGGTGTACTCATAGTCGTGCATGCCGTCGTCGTTANCGCATGAAGGGTGCGCTGCATCCTGCTAAGGGTGTTCGGCATCTTGTGCTCACTTCCTTGCATACGGATGACAGCTGCGTATGACTTAATTTATTTTTCTGGTGCTTCACTTCCAGAGACAGTTCTAAGCACTGTGTAACTGCCTCGAGGGTGCTTAGCCGGTAGGGGAAGATTATCAATTTTGCTGAAAGAAATGGGTGTAAATTCAAGGCCAAACGTCGTTCATGACGGTGGTAGCAACAACAACAACAGCAGCAGCAACAACATACACTTCTCCTGGGGTCATGTACGCTTAACTCTTACGGTTGGTTCGTACACACACGCATACCTGTCGTGGTTCTCAGAGTTGGCGTCCACAACCTGCACCCCGTGCTCCACGTACTTGTCGCACTGCTTCATGGTGAGGTGGGTGGGACCCTTGAGATCCAGCCAGACAGGTCTCTCGTCCACGCAACCGAGGTCTGGAACATGGCTGTACCCCGGCGCACACTGACACTTTCCCTCGCTGCTCGGAATGGAAAACGTCAAAGGGGGGGGGGGGGGGGGGGGGGG